TATATACAATGATATATACACACAAACATAAAACCTTGAATATCATTAGCATGTATAAAGCCTAGATTCCTTTATATTTTGAAAAAGTGATCCTTACCTAATGGCTATGTAATGATATTTGAAAGTTGATGTTATGTGCTGACAAACTCAAGTATAATGTCAAACTCAAGTACAATGTCAACTTTTAACATATGATCTCTAAGAAAGTGATGTCTCACTTCAATATGCTTTGTACATAAGTGTTATATAGAGTTTTTAGATAGATTTATAATACTTATGTTATCACACATAATAGGAATATGATTAAAATTAAGTCTAAAGTCTTTTATGGTTTGTTTCATCCATAAAATTTGAGTAAAACAATTACTTACCGTAATATATTTCACTTCAATTATTAATAGGGCTACTGAATTTTATTTCTTGCTAAACCAAGTTACTAGTGATGATCCTAGAAAGTAATATGTTCTACTAGTACATTTTCTATTAACTTTATATCTCGTAAAATCCACATCCCAATAGCTAATTAAATTCAACTCTCATCTTTTTGGATATCATAATACTATGTTGATTGTACCATGTAAATATTAAAAAATACATTTTACAGCACTTACATGGAACTCTTTTAGAATACATTTTACAGCACTTACATGAAACTCTTTTAGACATGCTTGAAAATATGCACATAGACAAACATTAAATATAATATCAGGTCTATTAACGGATAAATATAAGAGCAAACCAATCATACCTCAATATTTAAATATGTCTATATTCTTACCATTTTCATCCATATTAAGCTTCATTGATGTTCCTATAGGTGTGTCGGCTTTCTTGACATGTTCAATCTCGAATCTTTTTAGTAAATCCTTGATGTACTTGCCTTGGTTGATGAAAATGTCATCATTTTTTTTGTTGATTTGCAATCTAATAAAGAAATCTAATTCCCCTATCATGCCTATTTTGAACTCAAATATCATGTATTTTGTAAATTCCTTACAAAGAAATATATTAGTAGCATCGAATATAATATCATCAAAATATGTGTGTGTGTGTGTGTATGTATGTGTAATCAATATGTCTTTACCTTATTCTTCTTCTTTTTTGTGTAAAGAAGGTGGTGTTAATTTTACCAATATTAAACTATTTCAATAAGAAAAGTCATTAATCTACCATACTATTCTCTTTGATGTTTGTTTTAAATTATATATGACCCTTTAAGTTTGAAAACATAATTGAAAAAATAAAAGTTTTTAAAATCTTGAGGTTGCTTAGTATATGCTTCTTTCATGATAAAACGATTTAAAAAAGTGCTTTTGACATCCATTTAAAAAGTGCAAAATTAGTATGATATGCAAAAGCTAAAATCATTTTTATAGATTCTAATCTAGCCACGAGTGCAAAGGTTTATTTTTAATCCATAACTTCTTCGTTATTATACCATTTTACGACTAGTCTAGCTTTGTTTCTCACATGGTTCCATGTTTATCAACCTTATTTCTAAAAACCCATTTTATTCTTATGATAGTTGATTTTTAGGTTTAGGGATTGGTTCTTAAATATCATTTCTTTGAAATTGGTTTAGCTCATTTTGAATGGCTAAGATCCAATTTACATCTTTTTTCGCTTCTATGATGGATTTAGGCTCTATATGTAAAACAAATGTACAATGCTCATTAATATTACTAAGAGATGCTTTATTCTTGGTTCCTTAAAAAGGATTACTAATAATTAAATAAAGAGAATGAAAGCTTATATACCTTAGCTTTTTTGGTGGCATAGAAAAGTTATTTACCATTTCATATCAATGACTCAATGTGAGTTGATCCTTATTCATTTATTCATTACTATTTGTCTTATAATTAAGATTTAAATGTTGAATATTTTTATTTACATCATCTAAAATCTTATTAATTTTATCATTTTGAGTTTCCTCAAATACGATATGCATGGATTCTTCAAGAAAAAATATTCCATTGATATAAACTGTATCAACTTTGTTAGAGGAGGGATATCTAAGAAAAGTACCAACATCATTTTCTCAAATACGATATGCATGGATTCTTTAAGAAAAAATATTCTATTGATATAAACTATATCAACTTTGTTAGAGGAAGGATATCTAAGAAAAGTACCAACATCATTTGGTTGACTGGTTTTTATAAAATTTTCAGGTGTTCATCGCAAATGAACAACGATCAACCAATTTATTTGATATGCCCAAAGAGTTCAGTTCAACATAAAAAACAAATTTAACAGTTTCAAACCTGGTGAAACTTACACAGATTAAAAGTAGATTAATCAATGAATGCAATGTGAAATGTGTAAATTCATTTTAGTTTGATATTGAATATGATATAAAGATTTAATAAGAAGCATTAAAATGAATCATTAAGAATCAAATCTTCACTTGCTTTGTATCTTGAATTTGTTGATGTGATCTTCATAAAGATCTGTTTAAACTTAATCTTATCTTAACATATCTTTTGTTTATTTTTATTTAATTGCTATTATTAAATATATCAAATATTAATATATGATCCAAAGGTCAACATCATTGATCTATTCTTCTACAAATTCAATTTAGATTTACTTTTTAAATTAATTTTGTAAAATTTAAAACTATATTTTTAAAATAAATTACTTTTTTATCTATAAATTATAAATAATGATATTCAAAACTCATGAATTTTGAGAGTGTTGGATATATTAATGGATCAGGTTAGAGTCATAATAAGTTATTTTACTTTATATATCCTAATCCCAAGTATTTAAATGCTAGATTCATCCCCTACCTTCTTTTTTTAACATTGTCAAATTAAGTTGAATACTTAAACCAATTCAGTTTTTTAAAATAAAATCTATTTTTTAATTAAAATTACTTCTCCATATATAAATAATAAAATACAGGATGATATAAAATCATACAATATATCAAATAATAAAATTACATCTAAAAAACAGCTAAATAATTGGCTTGAGGTAAGGATGAAAATTTAATCTAAATTTGATGGACATCAATCCTATCCAACCCAAATAAGTGAGTATTTTTTGGATAATTATCTTACCTGATAGATAATGAGTGAGTATGATTATTATTAAACCCAATTTTAAAATCGTCTGAACCTAACGCAGGATATATATTTATATTATATAGATATATTTGTAGAATATTTATGGTTTTTTTAATATGATATATATATGTATCTCAATATTAATATAAAACACATATATGTGTATAATATTTATTATTTTATCATTTAATATACATATAAATACTTCAAATATATATTAAGTACTTTATATTTTATTAAATAATAAATAATAATAAATAATGGATATTTATATGAATACTCGAAACCCGATTGATAATTTATAAATATTTGAATTTTTTACCTGATGAATAATGAGTAAAGTATTGATATTAAAAAATCCGACCAACGAGTACCCATTTTCATCCCTAAATTGAGGGGTAGTTGGGTTATGGGCTAGTAAATCCCTCACTTGCCTTCACTTTCAATTCTAGTCATTTCATATTAGATTTTATTAGTTTCAATTAATTAGATATAAATTTAATTTGATCGAATCAAATACACTATAAATATGTTGGACTGCATTTGTAGCACACGTTTTGCCATGAAATAGTCTATTTTTTTTCAGCATAAGAAAATGTTAAGGAAAGAAATTCGAGACCTAAGTCACTAGATCAATTAAAATAATATAAATAAAAAATATAACCACAATAAAAAAAAGTAAACAAATAATATGATTTCATTTAGAGCTTGAAAAACCCAAATGTTTAAGGGTAAAATAAAAAAAAATTAATACATAAATATTGAATGATAAAATTAAAATAAATAAATATATAAAACCAAAGTCATCAAAATAATTACACTATTCTAAAAATAATTACAAAAATAAATACTTTATTGGTTTTGGCAATGCCTTGTATACATTTTTAATGGCTAATAAAGTCATTAAAATAATTACACTATTCTAAAAAATAAAAATACAAAAATATCATTTAGCAGGATTATTTTTATTTTAAGATTAAATTAATAGTTTTACTATATAAAAAAATGATCAATCTAGCCTTGTATAATTTAAAAATAATAATTATATCATGGTAAAAATATCACCTTGCCAAATGCCTTGTATACATTTTTAATGGCTAAAGGCAAATTTAAAAATTATGTTGTTATCATGAATAGTTTTTATGTCATGAGATACAATAATCTTTCTTCCCCTAGTTTTTTTTTTTAATTTAATCAATCATCTCTTATATTACACTATAAGCCAAGAATCACAACCTAGGGAGAGGGTAGAGATAGTAATGTATACTTATAAATTGAATTTTTTAATATTTATTAAGTAAAAAAACTAAATATGCATTAACTATTCATCGGATACCCGCAATCCGATCATCATCCATTATTTACTATTATTTATTAATAAATAAAAAATAAAATAGCTAATATATATATATATATATATATATATATATATATGAGTTTTATGTTAATATAAGGATTAGATTTGGACGGTTGCAAATCAGATTTATCTATAGAGAGTCATGATTGAGTCTTGATTTAATTGTTGCGGTAGGTAAAAAAGAGCATCGGTATAATTCGAGAGTAGAAGCCAAAACTGCAGCATGGACGGGAATGTCTGATGAGGGAAGCAGGAATACAGGTGGCACCACTAGAGAGAGTGGGCTTAGAGATGGCAGTGAAACCCCGCAGAACAGAGAGTATCCCATCGCAACGCTCCTGGATTTCGAAAATTAAAGGGAATAAAGAAAAATAAAAAACAAAAAGTGGAGATAAATAAGCAAGAAACAATATTGATGGTCGTCGTATGATGCCCTGTGTATTTTTGTATTTATTTTGTCATTTAGCCCAACAAACACACCAACGCCTAGAAAATAAATAAATAAAAAAATAAAACGAACTTGGCTGTGTACGTACAGGAGGAGGAGGGGGAGGGACTCAGATTTTGCCCAAAACTTGGCGATACCACTCTTGAGAGAAACACGCGCACACACTCAATATTTACTTACTTTTACTATTTAATTACCATTATAGTGGGAGGAGAGATAGGAAAGTGGAAAACAAAGACAAACAAGAATCAAAACAAATAGGAACAGAGAGAGAGAGAGAGAGAGAGAGGTCTCTTGCATCCTTCCCCTTCCCCTTCTCCACCTCCCTCAACCGCCATCTCGCATCTCCTTCTCCTTCCTTCCTTTGAGATTGATTCTTGATCATTAATAGCATCTATCTCTTGTCCAGTCTGCACTAGTAATAATAGATAGGGGGAGAGAAGGGGGGGTGAGATATGACAGGGTCAGGTTCATTGTCATCTCCGCTCTGCACGTGGATTGTCGCGGCGTGCATGTCGGTCACGTGCGCTAACGAAAGCAAGCACGCTCTGTCTCCACCATCCTCGACTACTGGTAATAGAAGTCGCAGGCGGAAGGCTGCTGCTGCTTTGAAATGCAATAGCAACAACAAGTACAACAACTACGGCAGCGGTATGGGTGGAGGAGGACCGAGCCTGCAAGGATTAGTGAGCTCTTGTTTGGCCTTTGAACCTTGTAGTCATTACTACGCTTCTAATGGACTCCTGAGATCCAATCGCAAACTAAGACGACTCCATCCTCCCGCTCTTTCCGGTATCTTCTTCACTTATTCGAATCTTCCTTTTTAATCGTTTATTTTCTATTATTCCTGCTTTTGTTTGTGTTTGTGTTTTGTTTTGCTAATCGGTTTAGGCTTGGATTTGATGATGATTTATCGCTTTCATCTTCTTTTGTTTGGATGCTTGTGTAATATATATATTCTCTCTCTCTCTCTTTGTTCTGTTATGTAACTGGGATTTTTCTTTTTCAAAAAAAAAAATAAAATAAAAAAGGCGATAATATGATGGGTTAATCAGAAAATAATTCAGGTAATTAACAGTGCGGGGCAGTTCTTGTATCTGCTGCTGTTTGTGGCTCTGTTCTTATTATTTTTATACTTTATAAGCGAAGCAGAGTATGGAGATAAGAGTATACTAAGTCTTTGTTTTCCTCGCAGAGTATGGAGATAAGAGTATACTAAGTCTTTGTTTTCCTCGTCTGAAAACCATGTCTCTTTCTCGCTTTCGCATTGCTGCATTTCTGGTCACCCACGATTTCCTTTTTTCTTCATAGAAGAAAACTAGCCATTGTGCTTGCGTGCGTGTGTAAGAGAGAGAGAGAAAGTTGCCTTCAGCTGCCTGCAAATGACAGACTCACACCATTTGCCTTGTTGATGTATTTAAAAATCTTAGGGCAAGCCATGGCTGTAGCTGTGCAACCTACAAAGGAAGTTGAGACAAAAAAGAAACCACATACAAAGCAAAAGCGAGTAGTTGTGACAGGGTTGGGTGTGGTGTCACCTCTTGGTCATGAACCAGATGTCTTCTACAACAATCTTCTTGAAGGTGTCAGTGGCGTATCTCAGATAGAGGCTTTTGACTGTGCTCAATTTTCCACGGTAATTGATTGCTTCAATAAATCTTTTCTTCATTTTGTTTCTCTGAATAAATCTTACCTTCACAAATCTCACTTTTCCTTTTTTCTTTTTTCACAGAGAATTGCTGGAGAAATCAAGTCTATCTCGACTGATGGATGGGTTTCACCAAAACTGGCTAAGAGAATGGATAAATTCATGCTTTATATGCTTATTGCTGGTAAAAAAGCTTTGGCAGATGGTGGGATTACTGAGGATGTGATGGATGAGTTAAATAAAGCTAAGTGTGGAGTTTTGATTGGCTCAGCAATGGGTGGGATGAAGGTAAACCTAATCTCCTCACTTTAAGATATTTTGTCTATGATAGTGAAAATGTTGACAAAATTGAATTGATGAAGCATCTAACTGTCAGCTTCAAATGGTATTCTTACAATTACTGAATCAAGAAATATGTATTTTGTTGTCTCTTTTTCTGGCAATGTCAACTTAATGATGAGACCACCATTATTTATTTATTTTCTTCTGAACATATGGAAATTAGAAAATCGACTCTGTTTTCAATGTTCATTTTTCCCCTTGGGAATCATTGGCTCTTGTCTGTCTTTGCTCTTGATAACGTTGTTGATTCCTCTTGGAACATCTTCTGGAAGGAAATATGAGTCTGGAGAAGGAAATATTAAGTGATCCTTCTTGAGAGCCATAAGGACCTGCTGATGTTGCTGAAAACCATATTCATAGTGCCATAAAATTTATTTATTAATTAATTGCTCCTTCTGGGTGATTATGGATAGGTTTTCAATGATGCAATTGAAGCTTTAAGGATCTCATACAAGAAGATGAATCCTTTCTGTGTTCCTTTTGCAACAACAAATATGGGTTCTGCCATGCTTGCAATGGATCTGGTAAAGCTATAATCTTAAGGATGATGAAATTTTAAAGCATACACTGATCGTTTGGGTCATTAAAATTGACCTTTTTAACTTCTGTTTGGCATATGTAACTACAGGGATGGATGGGGCCAAATTATTCAATTTCCACTGCTTGTGCTACTGGCAACTTTTGTATTTTGAATGCAGCGAACCACATCATTAGAGGTGAAGCTGTAAGTATCTTGTGTTCAATTCATGTTCAACAACAAAACTTTGGGATGCTTAAGTTATTGCACATACCACTTGTTAATGCCTAGCACCCAATTTTATGAACTTGCAGGATGTTATGCTTTGTGGTGGCTCAGATTCAGCAATTATTCCCATTGGTGGTTTTTTCTTCCTTTCCTGAGTTATACCTGTTCTATGTTCCCTGGTATAGCAGGAAGCTCATTTGTGTTTATAATCATTGGTGCAGGATTGGGGGGTTTTATGGCATGCAGAGCACTTTCGCAGAGGAATGATGATCCGACAAAAGCTTCACGACCTTGGGATATGGTAATTTATCACTAACCATTGGGCCCCCCTCATATGCAAAAAGGAAAAGATAGTAACCAATTTTTTGTAATTTGTTTCTTTAAAATGGTTGAAATTTATTCATTTGAAATATGATTGTACTCTAGCCAGTGGAAGAATTATCTGGTGAGTAAATGATATAGCTGCTTATTTTTTTTAATCCATAGCTCTATTATCTACGAGTAGTTTGGGATATGAATTCTATCCTTTCATAGTTTCTAAAATTTCTTAAAAGTCATTGGTTCAATTGTATTTGTGTCGTAGTTCTAGTTGCAAAATAGCTGTGAGCCTGATGTCTTAATTTTATTAGATGTGTGCTACAAATAACAATGGCACAACATGAAGCCATCACAAATCACACAGCATGTCTGATATGTGGGACCTGTGGCAGATCCCACGGATCAAATGGTTCATAACTTGATGCACATTGTGCCATTTCTTAGAAAGGGAATATCCCATTTCTTTATTTACTTCGCCTGTGTTTCTCGCACTTGAAATGTCTTCTTTTTCAATAAACAGAATCGGGATGGATTTGTCATGGGGGAAGGGGCTGGTGTTCTGCTTCTAGAAGAATTAGAACATGCTAAGGTAATATCTTATTTGATCCAAATAAAGTCATATTCTTTGATGAGAAGCAGAAGTGGAAGAGAATTAGACCATCCATTGGCTTTTTACTCTCTCTCTCTCTCTCTCTCTATCTATCCATCCATCCATTTATACATCTGCATTGCATGCTAAATGCTATACATGGTGATGGTAGATTGCAGTTTTTTCTGCTGTTGGTAATCTATGGTTAATTTTTGTTTGCAGAAAAGAGGTGCCAATATCTATGCAGAGTTTCTTGGAGGGAGCTTTACTTGTGATGCTTATCACATGACTGAGCCACGTCCTGATGGTAACATGCCCCGTCTAAAGTACATAGAATTTTTCACACACAAAATCTATTTGTGGGCATGAAATTTAAAGATATGCTGAAGGATCTTGACTCTCTCTTTCATTTTGATCCACCTTATGATTATGTAATCAATTGTGAGCCAGCAATGGTATTGGTTGTTATTATGAACCCATGCCTGCTGGGTTCATAGCAAATTAGTGCTTGCGTTCTTGTGGTTGCTTTTCATTATTTATCACTGTAGAGCCATGGGGATTTTGGTACTTGTTTTTTTACATGTGTTATGCGAAGGAATTAGTGATCTGGCCCTGTTTAAACCTTTCATCAAAGTCTTGGGAAACACATCTTGAAAAACAAAAGTCTACCTCTTGTCATATCAAGGCTATAAAAGATTAGTAGGTAGAAGTAACTCTAATATATCTATTTGAGGTAAATTCTAATGTCCTTTACAAGATGAGTCCTCAATGTAGCATATGGATTGTTGCAGCAATCCTAAAAATCAGCATGAGGCATTTTCCAGTTGAGTTGAATTTCACAGGCTTTTGGGACAGTCTGCTGCGCTTCTTCTTTATAGTTATTTCTTTGAGTTGAAGCCTGCGAACCCTTATTCTAAATGTCGTATTTCCCAGGTGTAATGCCCATTCACTTTTAGATTGTAAGATCGGTGCTTGAGTTGGTTATCACTCTCTGAATTACAGCAAGCAAATGAATAATTTCTGTTGCAATTTGTTATCTTGATTATATAGTTTATCCATGCAGAGTTTTTACAAGCTAACTAATGTCGCTTCTACACCACCTGAAAACAGGGGCTGGTGTCATTCTCTGCGTAGAAAAGGCATTAGCACAGTCTGGGGTAGCTAAAGAGGATGTGAATTACATAAATGCACATGCTACATCCACACCAGCAGGAGACCTCAAAGAGTATAATGCTCTCATGCATTGTTTTGGCCGTAACTCTGGTGTATGTACCATAAACTATTTATGAACATCACCTAATTTTTGCATGGCCATTGCCAGTGTATAACACTCAATTTTTCTTGTGCATTCGCAGTTGAGGGTGAACTCGACCAAATCTATGATTGGTCACTTACTGGGAGCATCTGGTGCAGTGGAAGCCATTGCTGCAGTACAGGTAAATTAGATAGTATTCATGACCTTTTTATCCTATCTCAATTTTAATCACGAATAGAGAGTGGAGGAAAAGGTTGGTTCAATTCTTGAACCCAAGATAAGTATGGATGGATATGACATTTAAGATGGAGTGCCAAAACATCCTACCTCTTTTTTTGTGAGGATAAATGTATTTTCAGAGAGAAGGAACATTGAAATTGCATTTTGCATTCGTTAATAGTATTGAGTTATTATTCCCCTACTCCCATCAGAAAACAAGTTTTTCATTGGTTGTTGATATTGTATTTTGTTACTTTTTCAGGCAATACGGACAGGATGGGTTCATCCAAATATCAATCTAGAAAATCCAGACCAAGGCATGGTATGTTTGCTCTGTTATTTTTCCTGTTTACAGCTATGGCATTGTAAGTTTAAATTTGATGGTGTTTGTTTTCAATTTACCTAATGCTGCAAAAATAAAAATTCAGGACACGAGTGTATTAGTGGGCCCAAAGAAAGAGAGACTAGACATCAAGGCTGCACTGTCTAATTCGTTTGGGTTTGGTGGCCACAACTCATCGATCATTTTTGCCCCATTCAAGTGAAATAGAGCTTCTCCAAGGTGCGTAGATTTGTAATTTAACTCTATGCTATAATAATTGAATTTGAGAAACACATCAAGCTGGGGATAGGAACATCGCATACTGCACTAATAGATGTATCATGAATGTATGAATTGATGCCTAGGCTCATCCCATCATCTCACCATTGCATGACATTTTACAGCAGCAACTTAATTTTCAGTGGGGGAAAACCTAAAAGCAGAACGAGTGTTTAAAATATCAAGATGCGGAAGGTCTGGTAGGAGATGTATCCTATATAGCATGCTAGCTTGCGAGATGTTCAGTAAGTGACTATTAATGACATAGCTACTTCTTGCAGAGTGTACTGGAATCCTCACTGTATCCTGTTTTCTGCTGAGCTTGCTGAAGCTCAGTTGACCTTTGAAATGTAACTAGTTGGACATCTGATATCTCGAGGATAGATTGATCAGATGGCTATTTGCCCGCGAAGGGAGAATAGTCAGATTTCACCAGGTGGCGACTGGAAATACTCTTTTTTTGATTCTGTTGTTTTTATAATCCTCTCTCATAAATAGCCACAGTGGGCCTTGATCTGCTTGTGAGCCATCAATCAACGATCAGAAGTGGCCTTGTTTACTTTTTGTTCCGTGTACCAAAAGGATAGCTGTAAGGGTATTGCATTAGTGGTCAGTTGTAATGAATTTTTGAGCTAACAATTTGCTGCTTTACCGTAGCATAGCGGTGGTTTATGTGCATGCTTCTGTTTTGTTTCTCTCTGTCGAGCTTGTACGCTTAATGTTTTGTCATGGTACGTTGTATCATTTCATCACCCAGAAATGACGGCTGCGGGGTAATTTAGGCAGGCGAGCTCGATATTTCCATGCTTGCACCTGATCATCAGGATCTTCTTTACTAGATATTCGCTGATCATAACCATGTCATCGACTTGAGTTTTCCAAGATCCGAGGATAAGTGAGAGAAGTTGCGGTGCGGGTTGTTACGATGCAGGATTTAGACAGATTTCACTCAACAATGTGTCGATGAGGTTTGTTTCCAACTAATGAGTCGCGAAAATGGCATGACTTAAATCAGTTTCTTAGCAATTATTTGCATGACTTGTTCTAATTAGCTTAGTGAAGGCACAATGCGATGGCGTGTGCCCAAGTGAAGCAAGGCATGTCGTTTATCTTGGAATTTATAATTATATTACAAGACAGATGACAGGTTAAAGTATATGTATAAAAAATTAACGAAATGAAATTTTATTTAGCCTATGATAACGACCTTTTGGCAGAAAGATGGCAAATCTGAATTTTACACCGTTCAAGCAGGGAAGTACAGTTGCATCTTATCCATTTGAGATGTGCTCTTGTATTTTTACGAGTCACAACTACAATAAAATTTTATTTAGCCTATGATAACGACCTCATGGTAGAAAGATCGGCAAATCTGAGTATGACACCACTCGAGCAGGAGAGTACAGTTCCATCTTATCCATTTGAGATGAGCTGTATGATTTTTTGATCTTGTGTTTTTACGAGTCACGATAACGATTGAATAAAGCTAACAAAACATTCTTGTAAAGACAATTAAAAAAAGCCCAGACGTGCCTTTAATTCTAGGATCCATATTTGTGAATGTTCGCTTTTGAGAACTGGAAATGCGAGAGGTGATAGCTACCCAACATTTCATTGAACAGCATAGTTGGCCAGACATAAGAGCATTACATGAGATCATTTCACAAGTTCAACCAAACTAAACCCAGGCGCGTGTACGTTCACGCGCCAAAGAAAACCATGATGAATCAAGAGCTCTGCTAGACATAAAACGACAGAATGAGCCAATCAAGTTGCAAGCAAAATTGCTACATCATTCGAAATTGGCTTCCCTGTTGTTTTTCTGTCATGTGCATTTCCGCAACCAGAAGAATCAGTGTCAAAACTGGAGCACGCAACTGTGTAACTGTAACAATCAAGAAAGTACAAAATCTCATGACCTGGACTACAGATCCTCCTTGATATATCGACCAATCTAGATGGCTTCACCTGCTCTTTCTCTTGCTGCCTTTCTTCTGACTGTTAGATTTGATGAGCTTCATAGACAGTGCAGTTGAGGCACTCTTGCCCTCAAGCTTCTTGGTCAATTTTACAACACTAGCCATACCTTTCCTAGCAGCTGCACGATGCTCTGGTCTCCGACTCATCATCTTGCGATCCAAGGGCCAATATGCATATGGCTCAAACTTGTCCTTCCTCTTCACATCCCCACCAGCTTTCTTGCTGGCATATTCACTTCCAGTGTAGGCCCACCCAGAATTTGAAGTTTTCCTGCGCTTCTGAGTTTTCTTGGAGTTCAGTGACTTGAAACTGCCTGCTTCACTCCTCGCATCTGAATCGGGGTTGGAGGGCTTCTCCTTCTTAGGTTTACCTCCTTCACGAACTATCAGCCGCCCTTCGCAGTCAATCTCTGGATCATCATCTGATTCCTGCTTTCTTTTAAGATGCGCGGTTGATCGGAGGGCTGATCGTGTTTTGTACCGATCAAGTAAGTCAAGTGGCTCATCTTCTAACTGGTCAAATAAGTCTTCTGGCAAGCTCTTGTCTGACCTGTGTATTATTTTAGACCTGGAAAATTTTGGGCATATAAATATGCAATTTCACATTGTTTTGAGCAAGTAATTACTAATAGATATGGTGCAGTGGCACCCTCTACCAGAACCATTAGACACCATCTATCAGATTCATCAAGAGTCCGGTATAAATTCAAAGGCTGAATTAGTGCTCTTGATTCGGTTGATGGGTTGTTAATAATAATATCTAGTGGAACCCAAACAACACCCCAAAATGCAAAGTGCAAGATCTGGGATGTACAGTTGGCATACATCAATAAAGGAAACCTTTAGTCACTAAGATAGTAAGGTCACCTATGATATAATAATCTGAATATAATAGCCCATGAATCCATAATTTTTGTAACATCATCAAAAGTCACTGACCTTAGTGAAGCTTTGCGTTTGAGCTGGGAGGAAAACTTGCTATGCCGACCTGAAACTGTCTTCGTATCCATGTATTCACCATCACTGTTCTCTGTCTCCCCATCACTAAAATCAGAGAAGATCTTAGTATGGTTCCATCTGCTTATCCTGTCAGCAGAGCAAAAATTTTCAGAATATCACTAACAAATTCAAAATTAGAGAAGAATCCTTAAGAACACGGACTTAGTGTCGTTCTACCAGAAACACCAGATAGGCTGATGCATTTGGAATATAGCACTGCAGTCTGAGATTGAATGCAATAAAAATCTATATTGTGACGCTTCCTATTGAATACAGTTAGGACTCGGTGTTCTTGTATGTAAAATATGAGGATGGCAACCATACAGAATGAGCCAGGTTTTTAGAATGCAATACTGTGAATAGAAATACAGTATTTCATGAGCACACAAAAATTGGAGATGCATTGCCCTTTTTTGTGTGTTTTGTTTTTTCAATATATTGCAAACCATCATTGCAATCATGCGAGAATTGAACAAAATAAGAATAAAGGGAGAGCATTACAAGCAATTGAGAACATTTTAGACATTTACTAGAGCATAAAATTCACTATTAATCCATATACTAATATGCCTGAGACCTGGATGTAGTAGCTCTTGACATATGAGATTTAATTTCATCAGAGCTTGCTGCATGCTTCCTCTCTCCCCGCTCCTTTATCTAGTATATATTCAACAATCATGAATAAAAAACAAAAAGAACAATTTGTGCTTTGGAAACTATAAAATGGCATATTATCATGATGTCACTAAACAAACCTTCCGTATGTTAGTAAGGAGTTTCATATGTTCTTCAGGCATCACTGCCTTCACAGCATCCAGACCACATTTCTTGACTAGCATTTCCAGGATGTGCTTAACCTGAAAAGAGTTTGGAAGCAATGGAATACCATTAGATAGTTTGGACCACATTTATGGCAACCACATACCTTCCGAGCAATAATCATGCACAATGCTGCAAAAGCTTTTAGACTTGCATACATGCTGTCCAACAGCATACCCAACATCACTAAGAAAGAACATAGTAGCGTTAAATAAAGCATGTCCACAAAAAAATTCTCAACAACAATGGTAATAAATCTGAACCACTAGAAAAACAGATAGGCAAGCTTCAAGAAAAACACAACTGACACCCATGTACAGGCAACAAAGAGCCAACATGAAAAGGAAATCTCTTCCATAAACTCACTTAAACACTACTATTTATGGCCAAAGTAAAGATAAGTTCAACACAGTTTGTGTTGTCAATACCTTAGCTTTGAAGTGGTTTTTGGTGTCATCTTGCCATCTCAGCAAGCCTTCCACCACACTCCCCAGGAACATTTGCAGCCCTTCAGCTTGTGATTTGGCCACTAGCACCTTCAGCAAACCTAAATTAGCCTGAAAAGAAAATTACCAATTTAGTCTAGAAAGAAGGCAGCATAAAAAAGACCACAAAATAGAAAGGTAGAAAAGAAATGACAAGTTTAATTCACTCGACCCAAATAAACATGATGCTAAACTGCACGCATCAAAAAGATAGTTAACGCACTTTGATGATCTCCCTGTTCTTTCTCTGCAGAAGGAGAAATGTGGATGGAAGCAACTTGTAAGCAATAGAAACCAGGTCTGAAAACTCGTATGCCAGACGAGCTACACCTTTCATTGCTGCACTGATCATATGAGGACTTTCAAGAGCAAGGCCTCCAGCAACCTGTGACCGCAAAAGTTAAGTGTTTCCGAGTGGTCAATTTACCCACATACATGTAAAACAATTTTTTTAATACAAAATAATAAAATAAAAATGGGATGATTATATTATATTCTTGAGATGAACAGATCACGGCTGGTCTGTCCAGTAACAAATCGGATCTTGTTAGAACTTCAAATTTGTATGAAAATGACAACAATTTCAATCAACAGAGCAATAAAACTTTGGAGACAGAAATACAAAATTGATACCATGTTAAAAAATTGATACAAGTTTTCTTTCTTTCCGCCATTCTCTTCATCTCCAAAGGTATGACCAATTTGGACAAGCACATCGTAAGCTCTATTTCTCGTTCTTTTGTTAACCTATAATAAAACCATTAACAAAAACAAAGAACAAGATATTTATCAGCATTTATAAACTACACAATGCGATAAGTTCAAAACCAGCATGTGACACATAACAAGTTTGGAACCGGCAACATAGATAGTTATTTTCGTTGATATCTTCATTTTAAAGGGCACAAAATCTTATCACATTCGCATTTCCAAGCAATATTATCTCAAGCATGAACATGGGAGTCTCTGCTTAATTTTATAGTAAATATCTGGTCAATCACAAAGGTGTATGTTAAGTTTTCGGAACCACCACTTTGTAGGAAAATGTTTATGGGTAGAGCATGAACCATGATGCACCACTTCATTACAAATAGACCTAGAATAATTTTATTTCTTCAGCAGGAGTTAAATAACCAAGTAGAAACATGAGACTTGTATATCAAGCTTCTGCTTAAGGAAAGCCAGTTTAAATAGTGACAAGCACAAGCATACCCTGGCATCAAGAAATACAAGGCTGAGAGTAGTGAATAACTTAAATTTAAGGAGACTAGAACAGGTGATGGAAAAAGATAACAGCTTATATAGCATAGCGAGTTCAAAAATACCCTACAACTTATGGCTGCTACAGTCAGTCAACTTCACCATGCATCCAAAAATCAAATCCCTTCCCATGTTCTCAATTCAATCTCTTAACAAT